TGAAATTATTTGGCTCGAATCTCTCTTGCGTGAGTTGTGGCACCCGCTCCTTTCTCCTCCACTCCTCCTTTGTGACAACAAAGGTGCTACAACGTCTTCCGCAAATCCTGTCTTCCACTCTCGCATGAAACATGTTGCTATTGACTTTCATTTTGTTCGGCAACGAGTTCAACGTGGACTTCTTCAAGTTCATCACATCCCATCTTCTGACCATATAGCTGATGCCCTCACCAACGTTTTATTCTTCTCAGAGACAAGCTCAGGATTCTTGGCAGTGACAGAATACTTAACTTGCGGGGTGTATTGAAGGAAAGAAATAATTGGATTTAAAACAGAATATTATGATTAGCCGTTACATATCTTTGTCATTTAATATTGTATTATTACTTACCTTATAGGTGTGATTAGTACTTGTACAAATATCAGCTATTGTAAATCATTTTGACACACTGAAATATATTCAAAATATCCATTTCTCTCTTCTTTTTTTTACTCCGGGGGGGGGGGGGGGGGGGGGGGGGGGGTCTGGGGGAGGGGGCCTAGAGTAATATCTACTTCTTATATACTTAATATCTACTTAATATCTACTTATTATATAGTTGTTATTTACTTATATTTACTTATATTTACTTATATTACATCTAATTAATATATTAAGTATATGTAAATATTAAAGTATTAAATATAAGTGTACTACTCATATTATAGTAGTATACTTATATATTATCTACTATACACAATATATTGTATATTAGTTACACTTTAATTAATATTAGTTAATTTTATCCTATTACTCCCATTAATTAGTATACACATTCATACATTTTTTCTATTACTTGCTCATCCTAGTTACATTTGTCATTAAAGTAGTTCATTACTTAATTGTTACATTTGTCATTAAAGTTTTTATTACACTAGTTCGAATTTTTAGGTGTGATTAATTAGTTAGAATTTTTAGTTCTTAAATTGTTACATTTGAGTATTTATTAAATTAGTAGTTCGAAAGTAGTTCTTAAATTGTTACTTAGTATTTATTAAGTATTTACAAAAAAAGTAGTTCCAAAAAAATAGTTTAGTGAATTTTATTAAAAAAAACAGTTCGAATTTTATTAATATAGTTTACACATTCATACATTTTTTATTAATATTAGTTAATTAATTGTTAATTGTTAATTTAGTGAATTTTATTTTAAAAAAAAGTTCAAATTTTTTCATTAAAGATTTAAAGTAGTTAGATTTTTTTCATTAACATTTCATTAACAAAAAGTAGTTATTGAAAAACTAGTTTGAAAAAAAAATAGTTTGTTGCATTACTATTGTACTAATATTAACATATTTGTTAGAATTTAATATTTGTTACATTTTTAAGATGGAATGTGGTAGAGCTTCTATAGATATGGATAACCGCAACCGCAACCGAGGAATCATCCTAGTTCATGCAAAGGTAAAGGACGGGCCGGGTCTTCTTCTCAAACCCAAGATGATTTTGAAACAGATTACCAACGGAGAGATGCGGATTGCATGTCCGACAAGCAACTACAACAACTATTAGACCAACAACATGGGTGCTTTTTCCAACAACAAGACATCCCTACAACCATTAACGAAGAAGAGCTCGATTATGATGATGCGGAGGAGGGCGATCCGGCGACGGCCGAGGAGGAGGGCGATCCGGAGACCCACGATGACGAGGAGCCTGGTTCATCCCAACCCGGTAAGAAAGGTAAATCTGAAATTATGGAAAATAATTTTGTAAAGTGGAAAGACCCACAAATCGAGAAATGGTATGCAACTTGCAACCATTGCAAGAAAGATTTTAGCTTGGAAATTTTACAAGGATACGGTAGCGCCACAAGGCATCTAAAGGCCCGTCACCCAGTGGAGTATGCGAAAACAAGCAAAGGCAAGGGGAAGCAAATTCAAACCAAAGGTTTGAAAATAGCCAACCCTTTGGTAATTTCTCTTATGATGATTCCAAATATTTGAGTGGTATGTCTAATTTAATCGTTGAAGAAAATTTGTCTTTTATTTTTCTGAAAGTCTTGCTTTAAAAGAATATGCGCAGGGTACTTTAAATCCTCAATTTTGAAATTATAGTCGCAAAACGATTAAAAAAGAAGTTATAAGGCTTTATGGTTTGGAAAAGGTAAGATTACAAAAAAAATTCGTAAACTTTGATGGACGTGTTAGTATTTGTAGTGATATATGGGAGGATACTTATCATAATTTGTATTATTTGGGTGTGACTGCACATTATATTAATGATGATTGGGAAAAGCATAAACGTGTTCTTGCTTTTCGTGAATTTAATGATAGACACCCCGCTGATAATATTTATATTCTCATTGAGCGTATTTTGATTGAGTATAATTTGACTAATAAGTTGTTTGTTGTTGGTTTTGATAATGCTAGTAATAATACTATTATTATTCCTAGATTGCGTGAATTATGTGGTTCTTCTACTTTGATGGGTAAGTTTTTTCATCAACGATGTGCATTCTTATTCTCAATTTATGTGTGAAAGAAGGGTTAATCGCGTTAGAAAATGCTTTGAGATAGTGAAGGGGGGAATTAGATTAATTTGGGCTAGTGGTCAACTTAAATTACAATGGCAAAATTATTTGAGAGAAAGACGTGTGAAATATTGTGTTTTTCCTAAAGATTTGTCTATTCGCTGGCATAGTACTTATAAATTAATTAAAGTACTTGTTAGATTTAAAGACCATTTTCCTGCTTTTTTAAAAGAATATGCTAACTATATTATAAACCCGACTGACATCGACACTTGCGAAAAAATGTGAATGTTTTGGTATTTTTTAATAATGCAATCGAAACTTTTAGTCATGTTTATACACCTACCTCAAACCAATTTTTTCGTGAAGCCGTTAATCTCGCCGGTCCTTTTTGTGAATTTTCCGATGCCCCTTACGTGAGTTATTTTTGTGAATACATGAAAGAAAAGTTTTTAAAATTTTATTCACATATTCCGCATATTTATAGTATTGCATTTATTCTTGATCCTCCTTATAAACTTAGTACTTTGCAACAATGTTTAGATTACTATTATGCTTCTTTTTTTGGTCCATTTCCTATGTACGAGGATAAGATCATAGACCCTAAACAAGAATACCAAGAGGTAGGGTTGGACTCGGGCCGGGTGGCCCGACCCGGAACCGGCCCGGGACCGGTACTGTTCCGGCCCGGCCCGAACCGGTGGCCCGGTCAGTGACCGGTCCGGGTAGGCCCGACCCGGTGGGTTTCCGGTCCGGGCTCGGGTCACCCATAACAAGGCCCGGCCCGGCCGGGCCCGGGCCTGGTTCGGGCCAAATTTATTTTTTTTTTGGTTTTTTTCATTTGTTTGGGCTCCACCGGGTTGGGCTTGATGTTTAGGAGGGGTTTGGGGGTGGGGGTGAGGGTGGGGGGTCAGGGATGGGTAACTAAGCAAAAAAAAAAAATTAACCAAACCCGAGGCCCGGCCCGGCCCGGCCCGGACCCGGTGGCTACCCGGGCCGGTCCCGGGTCCAGCTATATAGAACCGCCGGCCCGGGCCCGACCCGGCCCGAGTCCAGTCCTACCAAGAGGTTAGTAATTTATTATTTCAATTATTTAATGAGTTTCATGCACAATATGGTAATGCACCCTCTCCGCCGACACGAACATCTTCATTTCATCTAAAGGAAAATCATTTTTAAAATCAACATTTGGCAATCTTATGAAAAAAGTAAATCAACTCCCGTTGTTGAACAAAACTCAGTTAATGAGCTTTCTTTGTATATAACATTTCCTATTGACTTTGAAGAAGATGAATTTGACGTTCTAAAGTGGTGGGAGGATAAAGAAAGAACATTTTCGATTTTATCAAAGATGGCTAAGCAAGTGCTATCAATGCCGGTTTCAACAATTGCTGTGGAACAGGAATTTAGTGCGGCCGGCAACGTTCTAACGGATTATAGAACGAGATTGAGCACAAACTCTCTTGATACGCTTGTTTGCTACCATGATTGGTTGAAGGCACAACGTAGAACTCAAGAACTTAACATCACACCCCGCCAACACTTTATGGAGGAAACAACAACCAACGGTGGTGGAGATTCCGATTGATTATTCTTTATCACTTTATTACCCAACACTTTACGCTTCATGTTTTAATTTTTTACCTAATTCTCGACAATGATATCAAAATGACATTATAACAATAAAAATGATATGAAAATGACATTGTGATCATTACAATGTCAACATTAAAATAAGAAAAATCTCACAATGTCAATATAAATATTTCCATAGAAACAGTGTTACAATACTGTCAACATTATGAAAATTAAAAAAAAAGCACAATGTCAATGACAATGTAAAAATTTTGACATTGTAAAATTTTGACATTGTAAAAATGACATTGTAAAAATGACATTGAAAAATGTTGACAACGTTTTCATTATAACTGCACATTGTCAAGATTAAAAGGTAAAACATACTCCCTCCGTCTCCTAATTAAGTTCCCGGTTTGACTTCACACATATTAAGAAAATAAATTTGACTTTACTGTGGAGTGCACTGTTTTGCACTGTTCAAACACTGTTTGACACTGTTTGGCACTGTTTTGCACTGTTTGACACTGTTTTGATGTAAATAATTTGCCAAATAAGTAAAGTAAGGAAGTGTGAACTTAATTTAGGGACTGCCCAAAAAGGAAAGTGGTAACTTAATTGGGGGACAGATGGAGTATGTCAATATTACCCACTCATGCAACTTAATAAGCGCCCACGATTGTTCTGAACTAGGAAATGCAAAACAGGAAGAATTTTCAAATAGACATATCATCAAACACTTCTTGTGCAATAGAAAAACTCACTGATGCATATAAAAAAGGAACTACCCTCAACATTAATTCAAGATATAGCAGCTATTTGTAATAACAAGTACTTAATCCACAAATATCTTCCTTTAACTTTCGTTTAAACAATTGTTCATCTGTGAAAGAAAAAAAGAAGAGACAAGGCATTAAGGACGGAAGAAAACAAGAGTAGAGGAAAAGAGCCGCAAGAGAAGAAATAAGAAGAGGAGAAAGCGTAGGAGATGAGAAGGAAGAGAAAAAGAAGAAGAGATCTACTGCAGCGCCGGCGAAAATCTTACGGATCTCTTCTTCTTTTTCTCTTCCTCAATGTCAATCATCTCTATACCGTCGGTTCAGACGTGTTGTCACCGCTGCAATAACCGCCGGCATCGTGCGACCGCGCCGCCTCATCCCAAGTTTCCGCGAGCTGCTCTGTTGTCCTGTAAATTGCTCCCCCAGTCCCCTGTCGTATGGTTGTGTTTGTTGACTAGAAAATGCAGAGGTAATAATATTGATGGATAGTCTACCCGGGGGGTATATATCTGAGGGGTTATCGCTGGGAATAACTTAGAGAGAAGTCAGAGCAAGTAAATGTAGAGAGAGAGAGAGTATTATAAATGTGGAGCGTTTTCAGCGTGGTTACAAATGGGGAAATGGGGTGCTATTTATAGTAGCAATAAATGCCGGACAGGGACACGTGTCAAGCGCCTATTGGCCGAGGGGTCACCTCAACTGGTTGGCGTTGGCAGCCGCATGTGGCCGCATTTAATGCGGCTGTTGGATGGGACGTCTGTACAGGGTACGGTGATCTGCACGCATGTGAGGCGGATATCATGTCGGGAGAGGTGCCCTCGGCTGCAGAGGACTAGCCGAGGGCTCTTAGTGCTGAGGGGCCCTGAGTGCCGAGGGCTCCAGGTGCCGAGGGCTACTGTTTTCGCCGTTTTCTCCCAGTTCCTCTGTTTGTTCGAAATATCCATGCTGTGATAGTTTGGAGCCTTCGGCCAGGGGGCCGAAGGCACCCCCGGTGCGTATTGTGGGCTGCTTGGTACTCTGGGCGCCGTGATTTGGGCCTGTTGGGCCTTCTGGGCCTGTTGGGCCTCTAAAGAAGTAGTAGGAGTCTATGGGCCGGGTGTTCCCGGGCCATATACTCCATCAGGAGTCCCTCACTCCTTTTGCCGAAAGGCATTTGAGGGGAAAGGAGTAATTTGTGCTTGCCCTTTGATGTTGTCCTGTCGTGATTTTTGAAGTTGGTGAGGAGTTATTGCTTTTATGTCCCTGCCGAAGGCAATCCCTCAGTTACCCACATGTCGGGACTTGAGGGCTTGCTTTGTCGTTTGTTGGAATTTCACTAATTTTGTAATTTAATGATTTTCCCGAGGGGGTCCTCCAGTCCCCCACTCCTTGAGGCACTTGTAAAGTGGTGAAAAGGAGTAGAGTAGTTACGTTGTTGTTGTGGGCCGAAGGCTGACGCTTTTCGTTTCATTTTGGGGGGATGCCTCGTTAAAAACCTCATTAGAAAAAACCCTGTGGGAAAAAATCCTAATGAGGGAAAAAGAGTGCACCGGATTCCCCCAATGATGAATCGAAAATGTCAAACCTTGGTCAAAAATGGAGAATAACGATAATGCCGAAGGCTCTTCTTTTTCTGAGGGCTCATGTGTTGATTGGCCGAAGGCTTGCTGTTGATGTCTTGGGGGCGCCGAAGGGGAGCCCCTCAATCTCAGGATCGAGGGCCTGATTGATGAGGGCAGCAGTGGAGTTGTTACCGAGGGGGTCCACTGTTTGTTGATTAGTCGGTGATGAAGATACCCGAGGGCTCCCCATTACCTGTGCGCCATAGGCTATCCGTCAATGAGGCAACTCCCCGGGGGCTACCCGGTTTTTATAGTGCTGAGGGGGAATCCCCGAGGGGTGCCCTGATATGAAGCATTGGGTTTCTGAAGGAGTGATTCCGAAGGCGTCTCTGGGTAAGTGTATCCGGAGGCTCTCCTTGATGAAGTGGAGTGAAGCAGAAAAACCCGGGGGCTTCCAGAATATAGCCGTTGGAATATGTAGCGTCAGATTTATAGCCGTTGGGGGGGTACACGTGGAGTGCAGCCATTAGCTGCTCGCGGGCGGGCGTCACCGGTTGGGTGAAACGACGGTGCGTAATGATGGCTTTGGCTGTTGGGAGCCCGGATCTCGGCCCAAGCCCGGATTTGGGAGCCTATAAATACCCCAAGCCATGGCCATTCCTCCTTTACGCATCCAACATCCCTAGCGAAGCTCTGCAAAAAATTCTAGAGAGAGAAACTCAAGCCTTCGGTCAAACTCCTTTCAAGGTCAGTGTCCCGCTTTCCCCTCAACACTTTTTGTAAGTTCCGCCCTCTGGCCTTAGATTAGGGTTAGGGTCCCGTAGAAATCCTTCGAAACCTTAGGCACATTTCGTGGCAAAGAATGTCGTCCGAGAGCGATTCCCAAAACATATCGGGGGACCCTTCGGTTGGTGAGGAGCACGTTTCTGATGCGGAGTCCGTGAGCGAGCCCTCGGTTGGTGCTGATGCCGCCCTGGCCCGGGAGGTCCAGAAGGAACTCATTGCTGAGGTCGAAGCCGAGGGCTTCGAGCAAGAGTGCGAGGATGAAGACCTAGCCCTCGCATGGCAAGTAGCGGAGGATGAGGCGCAGAATGAGAGCATGAAGGTTACAATTGCTGTTCTCCCCCCCCCCCCCCCCCCCCCCCCCCCCCCGAGGTTCTGGGGAAGCAAGTAGCTCGAGGCCGCTAGATCCGATACCTCTGAGGGCGGTCTCCGGGTCGAAGAAGAAGAAAGCGAAGGCCGCTACCAAGAAGAAGGAAAGGGCTGTCGATCAAGGAAAGCCAGTGGACATGCCCGAGGGGTACAGTTGGTTGAACACTGAGGCCCTCGAGATTAGGTCGAAAGCCGATAGGGCAGATCTGTACGTGACTCAGCTGTACGTGGGGCCCTCGGCCGAAGTGGTGGAGCCAGGTCCTGACGACGTGCTGTCCAGGGCGCCCGAGGGGTGTATCGCCATTCACGTCCTCTCGGTTTCTATGGGACTTAGGTTCCCTCTGCACCCGTTCCTCCGGGAGTACTTGAGGTTTGTTGGTTTGGTCCCCTGCCAACTTACGCCCAACAGCCACTCCTACATTGCGGGGTTCCTCCAGCTCTGCAAGTCCCGAGGGGTGAAGCCCAGCCTGGATCTATTCTTCCAGAGCTTTAATTTGTGCCGGGGGGGGGGGGGGGGGGGGGGGGGCACGAAAACGGCGAGGGATACGCAAACCTGCAGCAGATTGCCCGCTTCAAACTATTCTCCGATGCTCCTTCTTCCAACAAAGGATGGAGGGAACGTTGGTGCTATGTAAAGTTGGGCGAGAACCCATTCCCGAGGGAGCTGCGCGATCGATTCTGAAGGCACGAAAAGATCAGGAGTGCTGCCCTCGAGAAAGACGGCCTAAAGCTGGCCAAGTTCCCGGAGGGGAAAAATAAGAACGTGGTGATCAAAGATTGCACCCTCGAGGAGGATTTATACACCCTCGGGTTCCGGAGGTACCGCTTCATAGGGGAGACCGATGAGAAGTACCCTCCCTTCAACAAGGCCTTCGGAGGAGCCGGAGGTAGGAGCCGAGGGCTTTAGATTTTTGTACTTAGTTTTTTTTTTTGCTTGGATGTCATTGTCCCTTCGCTTTAGACCCGTCGGCCTAATCCTTTGTCGTATTTTTGCAGGTATCCCCGTCTCCATGGTGAACGTGAAGGGCCTCGCTCGCCTGAAGAAACAGGACACGAAGGGGTCGGGACAAGGCAACCAGAAGCCCGCCACTGCCCTCTTCAAGAAAGCCGAGGGCGATGCCGCTGCCAGCAAGAGGAAGGCGGCGACCAAGGGGTCCCCCCGGCTATCAAAAAGCCGAAGAAGGGGGACATCACTGATAAGGAGCCCCCGGTCATCATTGCTGATGAGCACCCCGCCTCCGGGGTGCATGTGGAGAAGCCGTCGGGTGGAACGCCGGCGGGGGCAGAGGAGTTGCTGCCTGAGGTCCTCCAAGTTTCGTTTCCGAGGGGTACCTCCCTGGCCAGCGGCGCTGTCGACCCGGGGGCCATCTTGAGGGGCATAACCCCTGAGACGGATAGAGCTTCCCTCGGGGCTTATAATGATGCGGCCCTCGAGGACCACATTCTCCGCTCCTCCCTCTCTGTAAGTGTTCACTTGGCTTTCTCCATCTTCTCCTTTGATCATATTGTGTGATTGCCTTTAACCGTTTTGGTTGTTGGTCTGCAGGCTTGTCTAGCCCTCGGCGAACAGGCCCGGAGGCTTCAAGAATGGCGCCTTCACAAAGCGGAGCAGGACGTCAAAATGAGGGAATGCATCCTCAAGAACAAAGAGGCGGTGAAGCTGGGGGCCAGGCTAGAAGAGGAGCTTCGGCAGATGAACCTAAGATTGGAGGCTGCAGAAAAGGGCAAGGCTGATGCTGAGGCCGCTGTTGAGGAGGCCAGGAGAGCTGCCAAAGAGGCCGAGGATTCCAAAGCGTCAACCGTCGCCAAGGCTCAAGAGGAGGCCGTTGACACCTTCGTCGCCGAGGGTTGGAGAGCCGAGGGGCGCAAGATGTGGGTGTCCTCGGTCGTGGAGGCATGCGTCTATGAATGGGCCGAGGGCCCTGGGTGGGAATGGATGGCCCGGAAGGGCAGAGAATATTATGAGGCCGGCGAATTCTTCACCCAGGCCCTCATCTATCGGAGGATGGCCCGGCACTTGGGCATTGAGCCAAAGGACTTCGCCCCCTCGGCATATGGCCTCCCTCCCCTGCAGCCTGATGTCCGTGAATCCCTTCCCGAAGGTGCACAACGGCCCGACCTTGAGGACACAGAGCTGAAGAAAGAGGCCGAGGACGACGCTGTTGAGGCTGGAGCGGAGGTATCGTCGAGGCCGGCTGCAGAGGACGCCCCGGGAAATGACGCTGTTGAAATTGTTGAGTGATTTTATACTTAGGAATGTCTGAACATATTTTGTAATGAACAACATTGATCCTTCGGCTTCGGCCTGTTTGTAATTTTACACTCACTTCTGTTTTTGATGAATGCATGCTGCCTCCGGGCTCTTCACATTTGAATGCGCCCTATGTTTTGAATGTATGCCTTCTCCTTTTTGAGTGTATGTCTTCTCCTTTTTGAATGTATGCCTAGGACTTAGAATATTTTCTGATTGTAGCTTGCCTTTGGAAGCCTTCGGTTGGTAGCCTCCTCCTTGGTGTGTGAATATTGGACCGAGGGCCCAATGTACAGGACTTAGAAAATTTTTGCAAGTGTAGTATGTCATGCAGCCTTCGGTTGCTGTGGAGCCCCAACTGAAATGTTGATTAGGCCTGGGGCCAATTCGTTAGGACTTAGAAAATTTTCCTCAGTGTTGATTCCTTGTGTACCGCAGCCTTCGATTGATAGGTAGCCTTCGGCTACTAGGTCCCTTGGGATGAGGGTGAAATATGTAGGACTTAGAAAGATTTCTAAGTGCAGATTTTCCCTTGGGAGCCTTCGGGAGATGGCATCCCTTCTTGATGTATGAGTAGTTGACCGGGGGGGGGGGAATATGTAGACTCAGAAAAATTTTCTAAGTGTAGATTTTCCCTTGGGAGCCTTCGGGAGATGGCGTCCTTTTTTTATGTATGAGTAGTTGACCGGGGGAAAAATATGTGGAACTCGGAAAATCTTCTAAGTGTAGATTTTCCCTCGGGAGCCTTCGGGAGATGGCATCCCTTCTTGATGCATAGCCTTCGACTGTCATATTCATTTAGCTGTAATATTGATTGGGCCGGGGGGCCCTCTTTAGGACTTAGAATTTTTTCAAGTGCTGCTTCCTTGTGTAGCCTTCGGGTGATAGGTGCCCTCTGACTCTACATTACTTTGCGAGATGCCTGGGGGCTACTCATTTAGGACTTAGAATATTTTCTAAGCGTAAAGTGATATCGAGCTTCCGGATGCAGAGCCCTCCAGGTATGTGAATAGGACCCTTCGGGTAATCGTGGGGCCCTTTGAGTTGTGTGGATATTTGATCGAGGGCCAAATATGTGGAACTTAGCAAAATTTCACGGCCTTCGGTTGTCTGGTGACATATTAACCTCCGGTTGCTATCATTTTTCAAAAGTGTGGACTTAGGAAAAGTGTGGAACCCTGTTGTTATGAAGAAAGCCAATGAGGAGTGTGTGCCCTCGGCACATACTTGAAAAGTTGTAGAGTTTTGACTTAGCCAGTTGTGTCCCTTGTCATGAGGTAGGGTGCCCTCGGTATTTGTTTGAATTACCGTTTAGTAGACTTTGGATAGTCCAGTCCCTTCACATTGTTGAAGCCTTCTTGATGATATTTGTTTGAGTAGTATCCTTCGGGAAATAGGAGCCTTCAATTACCGGAGGTGTTCCCGTGGGGAGCCCTCGGCATGTTGTGATCTGTTGGAGTGTACTCTTTGATTTCTCGCTGAGTCTACTCCCCTTCACCCCCTCTTTTTTTTCTTTTTTTTTTGGTTGGTGGTGAAGGGAAGGCATCAAGAAACTTGGTTTCTTGGTAAGGCTGGGCCTATTAGGAGACCATCAGAATACACCAATGGCTCTCCTCCCTCGGGTTAACCTTCCGAGTTCCGAGGGGATCGAGGGTCGTTTCTTGGGCACAAGATATGGTGGTCCGTAACCTGCCTCCCCTTGGGGGATGGCGCGGAAAGCGCCTCATTTTTGAAAGTCGTCCCCTCGGCGTTAGACATAGTCTGTGGCCTGCCACACCCTTGGGGTGGTGGCGCGGGGAGCGTTTCGGTTTGGAAGTCGAATCCTGGGCATTTCTCGTGCCTGTCATACCCTTGGGGTGATGACGCGGATAGCGTTCCGTTTTTGAAAGTCGAATCCTGGGCATTTCTCATGCCTGTCATTCCCTGGGGGTAGTGACGCGGAAAGCGTTTCAAGGAAGGGTTTTCATTTGCACACTAGTTGCAAATGGCCGGGGGCACTAAGTGCCGCCGGCACCGATGGTGGCGCCTTCGGTATATGCGTCCTTGTGGGGTACGGCTTTTAGAAACAACACTTGGTGTTAGTTTCGATGTGTAGCCCCCGGTACTTGGTACCGGGGGGTCTTCTGTAGGAACACTTGGTGTCCTGATTGGAGTGTTTGGTGCCGGAGGGGCCCTCGGAGGAAACACTTGGTGTTTCCCAACAGAAGTTTGGAAGTTGATAGGAGAGCATATCCCTGGCTTTGGGTGCCGAGGGGTCTTCTGTGAAACATTTGGTGTTTTTCCTCGTTTTGATGTTGATGATGGAGGTGTACCCTCGGCACTGTGTGCCGAAGGGTCTTCTGTAGGAACACTTGGTGTTCTCATCTTTTTTTTTTTTTGATGTTGAAAGTGGGGATGTACCCTCGGCACTGGGTGCCGAAGGGAAATAAAACACATGGCGTTCCCTGCCGTTGGTGACGGGAGTCCCCACCCTCGGCACTTGGTACCGAGGGGGCTTGTTTCGAAAACACGTGGTGTTCTCCTGTTGTTGTAGGTGTTGATGGTGTCCGCCCTCGGTATTTGGTGCCGGAGGGGGTTTTTCTCGTGGTGAGGCCTGGGGCCTGTAGTCAGTATGAGGGCGTGGTGTCTTGAATGTGTCTTCATTCCTAAAAAGTGGAGGCCTTGGTCCATAGGATAGTACATTCATTAGTTATGAGGGCTTGGCCGCTCTTACATTATTGGTAAAATTTAACTAAATGGTGTACATTCCAGTGCCTAGGGACCTCTTTCCCGTTGGGGCGTTTGAGCTTGTAAGTCCCAGGTTTGATGATGGCTGCTATGATGTAGGGGCCTTCGAATTTTGGTGCCATTTTTCCTCCCTCGGTTGGTTGGCTGGCTTCCCTCCTCCGGAGGACATAGTCCCCCACTTGGAATTCTCTGGTGCGAACTTAGGCGTTGATGTAGCTTTTGACTTGCCTTCGGTAATTTTCTGCCCGGATGAAGGCCTGCTCCCGGCGTTCTGAAATGAGGTGGAGGTCGAGGGCCATGTTGTTGTCGTTGACCTCGGGGTCATATTGGATCACCCTTCGAGTGGGAAGGGTGACTTCCGTAGGAGCTTTGGCTTCAAAACCGTAGCAGAGGGAGAAGGGTGTTTCACCTGTTGCTCGCCGAGGGGTGGTGCGGTAGGCCCACAGGATGTTGTGGAGTTCTTCCACCCAACCACCGCCCTCGGCCTCCAGCTTCTTTTTGAGGCCCTCGAGCAAGGTCCGGTTGGCATTCTCTACTTGCCCGTTGCCTTGAGGGTAGGCAACGAAGGAGAAGGTGTGTTTGATGCCCCATGCCTCCAGAAGGGCACAGAAGGGGGCTGCCTCAAACTGTGTTCCGTTGTCGGAGATGATCTGCTGGGGGACGCCAAACCTTGTGAGGATGTTCTTGAGGACGAAGTGACGGCACTTCGCCTCTGTGATACTGGCGAGGGGCTCAGCCTCCACCCACTTGGTAAAGTAGTCGATGGCCACAATGATGTACCTGTTGTTGGAGGTACCCCTCGGCAGAGGGCCCACTAGGTCTATCCCCCATCGAGAAAAAGGGACAGATGTGCTGATGGGGGCATAGTTGACCGCTGGCCTGCCGGGGGCTTTCTGGAAATGTTGACATGCGGTGCACCTCCGGGCAAGGTCAGCACAATCTCTGGCTATGGTTGGCCAGAAGTAGCCCTGGAGAATGAGCCTTCGGGACATGGAGAAGGGTCCCTGGTGAGCTGAGCAAGTGCCACTGTTCACTTCCTCCATTGCGACCTCGGCCTCATCTTGATGAAGGCATCGAAGTAGCGTGCCATTGTAAGATCGTTTGTAGAGCCTTCCATCCTCGATGGTGTAGCTAGGAGCCCTCAGCTTCGCCAGTTTAGCGCGGGTCTCGTTCTCGGGTAGCTGCCCTGTGGAAATGAAGGTGGTGATATCTGAGATCCAATCCTCTTGGCGTTGTTGTGTCCATCACGGGGCTTGCATGGATACTTGAGAGGCTGAGTTCCTCAATTTTGGCAATTTTGGAGATGTGCTCGGGGGAGTCGGCCGAGAGTTTAGATAATATGTCAGCCTCGGAGTTCTGAGCCCTCGGTATTTGAGTGAGAGAGTGTGCCTCAAATACCTTAAGCAACTCCTTGGCCGCTTCCTTGTACTGTTTCATTCTTCCCTCCTTGGCCTCATATTCTTCGGAGATTTGGCCAACGACCAACTTGGAGTCGCATTTGATGTGGATCTGCCGAGCCCTCATGTTGGCAGCCAGCCGAAGGCCACATAGGAGGGCCTCATATTCGGCCTCATTGTTGGAGACTTTGAAGGAGAAGCGGATTGCATAGTAGGCTCTGAAGCCCTCGGGAGTAATGAGGACTGCCCCTCCCCCGCATGCTTTGGTCGCGGAGGAGCCGTCAGTGTAAAGGGTCCACCAATCATCCGAGGCAGCCGAGGGCTCCCTGTCCGTGGCTGTCCTTGCGGTACATTCCGTCACAAAGTCCGCTAGGGCTTGGCCCTTGATGGCAGGCCTTGGACGGATGTCAATGTTGTACTGGCTCAAGAAGATAGCCCATTTCACCATGCGGGAGGAGCTGGTGGGGCTCCTCATGAGGGCGCCGAGGGGTTGATGAGTGAGGACCTAAACCGGGTGAGCCTGAAAGTAGTGGCCCAACTTCTTGACGGTCCAAACAATGGCCAACACCGTTTTCTCCACAGGGGAGTACCTGAGTTCGGCCTCCCTTAGAGTCTTGCTAACGTAGAAGATGGCATGTTGGATGCCGTCTTCCTCCCGGGTGAGCACAGAGCTGATGGCCGCCGGGCTGACCCCAAGGTAGAGATAGAGGGTTTCCCCTACCTTTGGTTTGGATAGCACAGGGGGCGAAGATAGATACCGTTTGAGCTCGTCGAAAGCCCCCTGGCATTCTGGAGTCCATAGAAAGCCAGCCGTCTTCCTCATGATCTGGAAGAAGGGTAGAGACTTCTCCGCTGATTTAGATAGAAAGCGGTTGAGGGCTGTCAGGCGGCCCGTCAACCGTTGATCTTCCTTCACGTTGCGTGGGGGTTCCATGTCGATGATGGCTTGGATCTTTTCGGGATTGGCCTCAATACCCCTTCGGCTCACCATGTAGCCCAAGAATTTGCCTCCTTGGACGCCGAAGGTGCACTTCTTCGGGTTTAGCCGAAGGTTGAATTTTTGCATGATGGCGAAGATTTCCCGGAGGTTGTCAGCATGGCTGGAAGATTGTTTGCTCTTGACGATCATGTCGTCAACATAGGCCTCCATGGTGCGCCCTAGGACGGCTTGAAAGACCCGGGCCACCATCCGGGTGTAGGTGGCCCCTGAGTTCTTTAGGCCGAAGGCCATGACTAGGTAGCAGAAGATGCCCTCGGGAGTCATGAAGGCAGTTTTTTCGGCGTCTTCCTCGTGCATGAAAATTTGGTGATACCCTCGGAAGGCATCGAGGAAGGACATGATCTCACACCCTGCGGTCTCGTCCACCAGTTGATCAATATTTGGTAGAGGGAACGGATCCATAGGGCATGCTTTGTTGAGATCGGTGTTGTCCACGCACATGCGGAAGGTAGGGGGCTTCTGTGCGAGGACCACATTCGCACATCGGTTCTCGATGGCCGTCTTTAGCTGATGGCAGTCATCGGTTCTGTGCCCCTGGTGCCGATGGAAACGACAGTAGGGGAACTGAGGGTTGATAGCATGTACCTCCGGGGGTGCGCGAGAATCGCGCTCAACGAGGCCCCTCTCCTCGGCAAAATCAAGGATGATGCTAACGGGGTGCGTCAATGGTGTCCGAGAGCGGTCCAGGAGAATGGGTTGTGCCCAAGTCTTAGGGCTGCTCTTATAACCTCCCCCGGGTTTGGCTTGGCCTTGCCGAGGGTGGTCATCAGAGGGTCCTGAGGCCTTGGGATGGTTAGGAGGAGCCCCCGGCCCTCGGTTATGTTTATTGTCAGCCCTCGGGGGTTGCTGATCCTGATGCTGGTGATATTTCTCCACATCCTCGGCCTCGGCATATCGGTCCCCCCGCTGTAAAGCCCTTATGTAGTCGCGGGGGGGTTCAATGATGAGGCTCCTTGAAAAGTTGCCGGTGCGGAGGACGGTTTGTAGGAGGGCCAGGAGGGTCCCGTCATCAGCACCGTCGACCTTGTCGGCCTCCGTCCTCCAGCGCTCCAGAAAGTCCCGAAGGGTCTCATCCCTCTTCTGGCGTATGGTCAGGAGGTGGGAGAAGTGCTTCCTTGTGCGACGCCTTCCGGCAAATTGTGTCAAGAATCGCTGGGCGAGTTCTTGCCACGAATCAATGCAGCCCTCGGGCAGCCTGTTGAACCATTCGTATGCCGGCCCCTCTAAGGTGGAGAGGAACCAACGACACAAATATTCGTCTGACGCCCCTACCATCATCATGATGTTCTGGTATTTGCTGTAGTGTTCCTGGGGGTCCGTTTTCCCGTTGTACGGCTGTATGTGTTGCCCTCGGTACTTTTCCGGGATCCGGGCCGCCAATACCCTTGGGGTAAATGGCGTCTGAGTCCGGAGCTGGATGACGGGTTCCCCGGAGCCCTCGGCCACCTTCTTCTGTAATTCCTCCATTTTGGCCATCATGGCCTCGTATTTGAGGTCTGAATGAGGGGTGGAGGTGGTGGCGTGAGCTTTGTTGGACTCCATTTCGTCAAGTCGGCGTTGGAGGGCCGCAATAATTTCGTCCCGGGGATCCTTCGGGAGGGTCTCCGCCCCCTGAGAAAGAACCCGGGCCAGTGGGCCTGGTTGATTTGGTGGCGAGCATCATTGGCATGAAGGGGTGCCTTACCTTTGTCCCGAGGGGGACGCTCCTCGTCTGCCCTCGAGACAGACCCTCCACTTTCCTGGGGCCTTTGGAGTGCCTTTCCTCCAAAGCGGTCTTGGACCCCTCGGCGGTCTGGCCGTCCTCCGAGCCGGTTGAGGGCGGAAGTGCGGGGCCTCTCCCTGTTGTCATTATGGCAGTCTCGGGACTGTACTTCCTGGGAGGACGTATCCTGGGCCACTACCCCTTCGTCGTTCCTCACCCGAGGGATGGGATTTCCGAAGGGATGTGGCGGAGGGGGAAGTATGATGTTTTCCCCAACCTGGGGGTGAGCCGGAGCCAGGGTGCCGAAGGCACCCGGGTTCTGAGTGAGCGTTTGGATGAAGGCGGAGAGCGCCGATTGCACGTCGATGGTGAGAACCGGAGGGCTGACTTGGTCATCGCTCCGGTTTTTCTTCTTGGCCTCGATGGCGAGGCGGGCATCGGGGGCATTTTGTTGGATCTGAAGGCGCAGGTCGACAGCCGCCTGTTCCAGCCCAGCGATGACACCGCCCTCGGGAGCCCTGTGAGAGGCTTCGGGGGCGTTGACGTCGCCGAGGGCCAGGTTCTTGTCCTCCACGTTTTTTGAGTTGGCACGTGTTGTTCTCACCATTTTAGCTAGGTGTTTTGTGTTTGGTCGAGGGGGGAGGGTTTCTTACTCGATTGTTCGAACTCTCAACGAGAGCACCAAATGATGGATAGTCTACCCGGGGGGTATATATCCGAGGGGTTATCGCTGGAAATAACTTAGAGAGAAGTCAGAGCAAGTAAATGCAGAGAGAGAGAGTGTATTATAAATGTGGAGCGTTTTCAGCGTGGTTACAAATGGGGAAATGGGGTGCTATTTATAGTAGCAATAAATGCCGGACAGGGACACGTGTCAAGCGCCTATTGGCCGAGGGGTCACCTCAACTGGTTGGCGTTGGCAGCCGCATGTGGCCGCATTTAATGCGGCTGTTGGATGGGACGTCTGTACAGGGTACGGTGATCTGCACGCATGTGAGGCGGATATCATGTCGGGAGAGGTGCCCTCGGCTGCAGAGGACTAGCCGAGGGCTCTTAGTGCTGAGGGGCCCTGAGTGCCGAGGGCTCCAGGTGCCGAGGGCTACTGTTTTCGCCGTTTTCTCACAGTTCCTCTGTTTGTTCGAAATATCCATGCTGTGATAGTTTGGAGCCTTCGGCTAGGGGGCCGAAGGCACCCCTGGTGCATATTGTGGGCTGCTTGGTACTCTGGGCGCCGTGATTTGGGCCTGTTGGGCCTTCTGGGCCTGTTGGGCCTCTAAAGGAGTAGTAGGAGTCTGTGGGCCGGGTGTTCCCGGGCCATATACTCCATCAAATATAATAGGGGTAAATTGGGAAGACACTGAAATAGGCCTTTTTAATATTACTGAAATGAATAAAAAGACAAAAATATGACCTCTTTTGAATTTCCCCCAAAAAGTGACTAAAAGTCATTTATCTTTTTAAATATTTGATCAATACTCCATATTTTGCTGCCACCTGCCCCTCTGGGCCGCTTCCGCCTTCGCCGCCATCACCGGCACCGCCGCCACCGGCACCGACGCCACCGCCATCACTATCTCAGTGACTCCGGTCAAAGTGACTCTGTCGTCACAGTGACTCCGCCAACGACAGTGACTCCCCCGGCCACCTTGACTCCGATCACAAGGACTACGCCACAGTGACTGCCATCTACCGGCCAAAATGACTGCCGCTACACCCGGATCAATGACTGCCGCCATTGGCCATTCCACCTGATAGTGACTGCTATCGCCCCCGTCTAGTGACGGCTATCGCCGCCGTCCAGCCATTGCCGTCCCCTGGCCAATGACTGCTGCTCCCCGGGCAGTGATTGCCACCCCTCGGCCAATAAACTGCCCAACACCATCACCGCTCACCCCACACATCTGTGGGTGCACCACTAACCATCCCCCAACCCCAACCTGCACAACCCCCTCCCCAACCTTACCAGCCCCCTCCCCAACCATCCCAGCCCCCTCCCCAACCTTCCCAGCCTCCTCCCCAACTATCCCAGCCCCTTGCGCCACTGACCCCAACCGGGCCATTACCCTGCTCCCCTGCCGCAGCTTTGTCCTCCTCCAGGCCTCTCCAGCCATTTAACACCACCATGGATTCCGGCGTGAGCAGTCCTCTCCACCAGCCCTGCCCCAACCCAGGCCCTAGCACCCTTCCCAGCCCCGCCCATCAAGGACAAACCCCTGCCCCACCCAACAACGTCGCAACACAGCCTCTCAAGCCTCGCCCCATCCACAAACTCAGATCTGAAGATAAGAAGGAAATCCCCCAAATGTGATCTGGAATCGTAATGATTTGCAGTCAAGAAAGGAGAAGAAGAATAAACGAAGATCGAAGAGGCACATCCCTAGCTCAAGGTTCGTCGGCCTTCTTCAGAGAGGCGGGCCGGCAGAGATGCAGCAGGGGGACGGCGAGGTTCAGGCAGGCGGACCGGCGAAGCGAAGGCGTCATGGTCGTACGAAGAGAAGAGGCGCCTCGACCTTGTGCAGAAATGAAGGAAGACCAAGCCATGGCCGGTGGTTTATGGCGGCGGAGAGAAGTCTCATGCGTCTGTGGGAAGAGAGACGTGCGGAGAGGGAGATGCGTCTGTGGGGAGAGAGATGTGCGGAGAGGAGCGTGAGTCACATTTTTTGGAAAAAGAAAACAGGGTTATATTTGTGGAATTTGAAAAGTCAAATGTCATAAACGGGCCATTATTAAAAAGCTTGGACTCCTATTTAGGTATATTAAGTATATCTTGGTCCTATTTAGCACCATTTTTCTTTTAAGAATCAGATCCAAACACCTCAATATGAAATATCTAAGGAAACTGACTGATAAGAGTAACAATCCAAATTAATAAGTTAACTAGGCAGACACATAACACTGGTCGAGAATAAGCTGAGACTCATTTCTAATGGCTAGAAATTGTAAAACTAATACGTAGTATATGAGAATAGCTTAACAGTATGTGGAATATGATAAACTCTATACATAAAGCTGAATCCTCACAGTGACTTTGAAATCCACCAATCATCAGCAGCATATTTTGAATCCACTAATCATCGGCAGCATATTTTGAATCTAATCTGTAAAATCCTGCCACAACCAAGTTGATAACCAAAAGCAGATCTACAAGGAGACAATTTTATGAGGATCATTAGATTCGAGAAAAGAACGTAGAAATGCCATGCTACTTGTGCATAATAGTGAGACAAATAAAATTACCTTAGTTAACCACGAGTTAAAACTCCAAGAAGAGAACCCGCCACCCCCCGACGCTTATCCTGCATCATTTAAACAAAAGGATTTGGAATTTTTTATAAATAAGCATACATGAGCGAACATGTAATTACAGATGCGCACCTTCTTCTCATTGAACAGGTCTTCTGCCCTAGCCTCCGTTTGTTTTCTCTTCTTCTCCTCTTTTATAGATTCAACTACTTCATCGTTATTGTAGTCAGATTCTCTGCTCTCATGCAAATTAGTATTATTGATCATTGTGCAAAATGTGCTGATCTTGTAGCAAGGGTCAATTATATACTTATATACTATCCTCCGTTCTTTAATAGTTGCAACAATTTGACTTTCACGTTTGCCAACACACAACTTTGACTGTAATTATATTTAATTACGTATTAGTAAAAATTATAAAAGTTAATATTTTGGAAATTCACATGAATAGAAATTTAAAAACATTTTATACGTAATATTTTGATTATAAATATTAGTAGGAAATCGTGATTAGAGTAAGGTGTGTGAATAGTGCAAAAATCCTCATGTTGCAACTTTTAAGAAACGGAGGAAGTACGTACCTGTATGGGTGCTTTGCGTATGGAATCAGGCTGCTATAGCTATTTCCAGATGGTACTTGTGTCTGCACGAGTTAAAGGTAATAAGTCAAGGGAAAACAGTCAAATAGATCCTCCTAGCTCAAATTCATCAATTAGACAGTCCTACAAACACTCAATCATACACATAAACACATTAATAACATCCCATTGGCATTGTTAAAACTTAGCAGGTTACTAACAAGTTGCCAAGTTACTTTTGTCATATGATTGTCATATCAATGCCACATCACCCTAATCACTGCCAACTCGTCATAATCTTGATGGTTTTTCTTTATAGCTTTTCTGGTTTTTTCTACTTTCTAGATTTAATGCCCAATGAGGAGATGAAGACCCAATTAGGTCAAAATGGAAGTGAATAAGGGTATGTCTGGAGGCCGTGAAATATCAAGGAAAAATAGGAGATAGAATGTGAGAAAGTCATAAGGGGGAGGTAAAAAAATAACCTAATTTCAAAGAAGGTAGTTTTAAAATGTTTGTTGACAATCATTATAATTTTTTTACATCTCCTATATAAAGGCTAAGAGCCTAAGAGATATAAACATATGTAACGATTTAAATAAATAATTATAACTCCTATTCCATTTTCTAATGTACAACCATAAGAAAACAACTATTAGCATGTTTACCTATTCCTTGCGTTTAATACTACGTATTAAAAAAAAGTTTACCTTTCTGAAGCGTTTAAAATTTGCAACTCCAACATTTGTAGCAGATGTCACTTTAGCTGTTAAGTTACATTCTCGAATAATCAAATCTTGGCTGAATATAATATCTGAATTTCCACTCTCGGAGTTGTCAATTTTAAGTCTTGTTGACATTTTACTACCAGTTTTGACTCCTGACATCTTGCTGCAACCCTCTCCTGACTTATCAGCAGAAGAATTGTTTTCTGGAATTTCATGATCTTCATCATGTTTGGTTGATTTTGCTGTGACATAACTAGTACCCCTCTTTTGATCATCTTCTATTGGCTTGATAAATGGCATAGAGTCCTCATCTTTGATTGATTTTGATGTGACATAACTAGTACCCCTCTTTTGATCATCTTCTATTGGCTTGATAAATGGCATAGAATGCTCATCTTTGATATAATTTTCCGGAGATTCAATAACATGTATGGCTGTTGTTTCCTTGTCGCCTTCATCATCAGAGTCTAGTACACATAATGGAACAGCACCACGAACTGATTCAGTGCTACATTCTGTTTCTGCCTCTGAATCTGCTACGACAGTCTCCTCCGTGGAGCACGAAGATGTGACTTTCACTAGTTAAAGACAAGTAATTGGCAAATATATCAGCAAAAGAAACGATAAAAGATTCTATCATAGAAACAAAAAACACATATTGAATAAGATGTTGTGATGCAGATCAGTGGAGCTAAGGTTTAACATGAAGTGTATGGTGCAAATTATTTGTCAAAAGTTAGGTAACAGTGTGGCTATGTGAATCCCAGAAAAAGCTAGGGAAAGGAAAGAAAATGTTACAAGGGAGGTTATTTTCTCATGTTTTAATTTGCCTGAGAAAATGGAAAGTAAAGCAAAATATGATTAATGCTTTTAATTTTTTAAAATTCTACATATGTTTAGATTGCTTAGTATATATTTACAATAATAGGAATAAACAAATAAAAATGAATTCAAAATAATAACAAAACGAATTATATTGAGTTTCAACCAATGCTTTATTATCTTTAATATTTTCTTAACTTCCAAACTTCTCCTATATTTTCCTCACAATATTGATTTCTAGAATCTTCAGGGATCTAAAAGAACCCTATAAATTCATGCAAAAGAAAACATAGTTACAAAGTTGTACGCAGTATGCCCAATAACTAGCTAGCATTAACCTGGTATTTCTTATTTACATTAGTTGTGACAAATTAAACCTCGATAAGCTCTCTGCTATAACCAAAATGCAATGTCATATATCATCACATAATAAATTACCCTGTATTTTGCAGACACAACACATCCTACAAACATCTGAATTCTGAAAACATTCACAAAACCTCTGTTCTAAATATCGGACTAGATACCCTCCAAGGCGCTAGGTCGTTGCTCGGCACCAGTAACGTAATGAATTAATTAAACCCAATCCATACCATGAAGTTATGGGTGATAGAAAGGAGATTAAGGAAATGTATTTATATGTATCAAAGAATCATTTTGGATTTATGCCTGGACGATCAACCACATAAGCGATTATCTTTTTAGACAACTCATGAAATACTATCCGGCTACAAATAAAGATGGATTTGTTGACTCATGGATACTATCTGATATTTCAATTACAAATAAAGATGGATTTGTGATATTTTATAGATCAAGAAAAAACTCACTATAAGGTAATCAAATAATTCCATTGGTGAGCTATGAGAAATAAGGACGTATCACTAAAAAATATTGATAGAACCATTGCTAATGGATGAGTTGTCTAATACTATTAAAAAGGGCTATTGTGGTGTATGTTTTACATACACAATAGTCATTAGTACGGAGTACCATCTACCATGTTTATTTGATGAATTCAGAAGGGTTAAATGTGAAGTGGGAAAGATGGAAAGATGGAGAAGTCAATTAGCATAAATAGAAAAGTGTTTGGAGAATTTCCATCATTTGCAATGGAGCCAAAGATTCATTTTTTGGCTTGAATTATGATGGAATAAAGCAAAATGGCTCACTAAACTGTTTGCGCTTCTTTGTTATGGAGCAGCAGTCAGTCCATGCAATTTTGGACACGATTTTCACTATGGGTCATCCGGAAACAGTCTCTCTGTGCTTTAGTACGGGGGGGTAAGACTGCGTACATCCGACCCCCCTTACCCCACCGTAGGTGGGAGCCTTTGCGGCACTGGGGTAAATGAAAATGAATGAATGAAATGAGAAAAGTGTTTGGCGAGCAATTCAACATCATTGAAGATATTTAGAAAAAAGTAGAGCAAAGTCGGATGGAAAAGAGCTACCACTGACCAATAGTTTCAAGTAATTGAGAATTGAGATCTATTATATATTATATAGAAAAGTGGAGATATTGCAAATGATGTCAGAGACATGATTAATGCATGTTGGTTAAAGTGGTACGAGCGACAAGAATGTTATGGTATCATAATGTGCCCTGAAGGCTTAAAGAATCAAGGGAAACTTTTAGGAGACCATATAATAGACCGACTTCATTATGCCAGTCAGGAAGTAGGGCTATTAAAAAAGATTTACCGAAGTGGATGTGGTAGATATGTATTTATTAAAATGAATGCATAGTAAAACCAGAGAAGATAGAATGTGTGATGCTCAGATCGTACAAAAATAGGTGTAATGTCTAGTCAGGATAAACTAATGGAGAACCAAGTTAAGAAGCAAGTGTTCCGGTACAGAGTATAGTCTTCAAATATTTCAAAGAGGAGTAGTTGTAAGCCAAAGTAGCATTGAATGAATGTTCTCCACAACATATTTATTAGCTTTGCAAATTGCCTATTAAAAATTAACATGGTAATCTTCGCCCACAGAAGCTTTGCAGCAAAGAGAAAAACTGGAAATAACAGAAATCCCCACATAAAATAGTCAGTTCAAAACTTGCCAAAGCACTGACTCATTTAGTCTCACCTGGTGGAGAAATGATCAAAGAAGGGTCCAGATGTCCAGATAAAGCAGCAGCAACTAAATCCATCTCATTTACCCTGGACAAAGAACTATCACGAAAGCATTGGAAGTTTGTTGATATTTCTGGAATTACTAGTATGGTTTTGTCATTTCCGTCCTCCTTCACGACCTATATGGTGAAATAAAAAATAAGCATGTTATGCATTAGTGAGCTGGATTAGCATTAAGAGTTTGGATATGACTTTTGGGAGCTCAATTTTTAAAATAAGTGCTTTAACTAAATAAAGTCAAAGAGATAAAAATGATAAATTAGTATAAGCTTTTATTAGTCTCCTTAAACGGTCACATAGATAGCTTCAGTTCATTGGTTGTTCTTAACTTATTATTCAAATGCAAACATATTGACAAGTTCACTGGCATAACTAGAGGTGGGCCAACATGGCCCCCACCCACCCCAAATGGATAATTAAAAAATTCATGTGTGCAAATTTACTATAAAACTTATATGAAAGAAATATTTATTAGACCCCACATATGAAGCACGGAAACTCTCCGCGACTCACGTTTCCCCGTTTCGGAAACTCAGAAGCGTTTCGGAACTCCAGAAACTTCAAATTCCCATTTCGGGGCCATTTCCATAATAAAGAAAAATTAGGAAACCCGTTTCCCTGAATATTTAGCATTTCGGAAATCTTGGTTTTCCAATTTTTCTCTTTCTTAAGAGATTTTGTGATAAAAAATAGTGTCTTTTAAAAAAATAGTGAATTTTTGTGGTATATCTTCGTAGTAACGATGTGAGTCTGTACATTTCGTAACGCAATGAATTGCTAGAAATTTACTGCATATAATGTCTAACTATGTACTAATATGATGTGATTTCAAAATATGAACATGTGGAATGTTTTTTATTATTGGGTCATTAAACAAATTACATGGAAAAATTATGTACATATATGAAAAAGTATTTATAGATATATCCTTATATTTTTAATATTTACGCGTTTCTTCCCACGTTTCGTATCCTATATTTTCCAGAAATTACGTTTCTCGCGTTTTCCAATTCCTGTTTCCCGTTTCGCGTTTCCGTGCTACTTAGGACCCCACCCTATATTCAAACTTTGGGGAGTCTTGCCTATGTAAATGCAGGAAATCTACCCACTACTATTGATGGGCCATGAATAGCAGAGAGAAAACAAGAAGATACCTGGCTATTGGGGCAGAAAGTTTCCATAGAAGAAACTTTTGCACCGCTTACTTCCAATAATGACTGCAATCTATCTTTCAGTTTATACTGTGACAAGAAAAGCATAAAAAAATTTCACCAACACTTTCATTGGTATGTGACAACAGTCAAGATGTAGTAGCACTCTAAGTTGCAAAGTAAAACGGGCTCTTATTGTCACCAAGGTAAAAAAGATTTCACCAACACTATCATTTTCAGTCTCAGTTGGACTGAAAATGAGGTATAAATTATGAGTCTTAAAGAACAACAACACTTCTGTGATCTGTCAATTTGGCACGAGCTCTTATGAAAACAGACTGAGAACAGTATAAAACATCCTGCAAAATCTCATCTGTTCTCAGATATCTAGAACAGATGGAAATGTTGAAGCCTAGACCAAGAGGTTTTTAGATATATGAAATGAAAATATTTACCGTGTTAGTTACACCCAGTATAAATGTGTATGCTTTCAAACAATGTTCTCGAGCTTCGGGGACAGCAACTTCAACCGGTGCTCCTTCGAGCATCAAGGTTGGAACATGCCTGTGTGAAAAAAATATCCCAATGCTAGCTAAAACAAAATTACAATCCTGCATGGGACTATAAGTGCAAATACTTACGCATTGTAGCTGGGAATGTCAGTTACAATATTATTTCCTGCAACCAACTGTAATTCATAGCATATCACTTAGCAATAGAGATGTGTAAAACCAAGAAAGTTAATAAGACAAACAAATAATAAGACAAACAAGAGATTTGTAGTCTTTATTTATTCCAATAAAAATCTTTCACTGCCAAAAAAAGACAAACAAGAAAATAGATATATGTTATTATTTAGACCACAAAATTGGAAAGACTATAAAATTACGTAGTACTCCCTCCGTCCCCCTGATATTGGGACGGAAGGGAGTGGTGTGATTTTTAAGAAAAGTAGAATTATGTGGTTGATAATGAGTTGATAAAGTGGGAATAAAGTAAGAATGAATTAGAGCCACACAAATGTTACCAAATATGGTATGGGACAATAATAGGGGGACATCCAAAAATGAAAAAATGGGACAATTATAGGAGGGCGGAGGGAGTACTAAGTATTATTTAGACCATAAAATAGAGACCACGTATCCCATTTGTTTATACATACCATACCTGGGAAGGAGATTATCATCCTTTAGAGAGGAAGCCAGAAGTCATCCAGTAGCAATGAAGCACTGAATAAACTAAGCCTTGTGGCTCTGGCAAGTTCATACATGTTGGGTTACATCTTTGTCTTCATGGGTTCTCTAAATGTTTCTTTGCAATACAACGGTTTTAACTTTTGATACGCAGTATCTTTTAAAATAGTTCTGAGGCTCTTTACTCCTATTATAATGCTTAAGTTTTTCATTGTACAGTGATAAGCAATCTCCTATATGAACAATATTTCTTCATGGATCACTCTTTAATGCTAAGCCAGGTACAATACTTTGAATTTAAATTTACATGTCTTTTCCGAAAAGACTACCTATGTAATAAATAGATTTTCAATGTACACTCTTATAGCTTATCTCCTATAACAAATATTGAGGCTTATATTGAACATGTACAGTATATATCTTAATATAATCAGCTCCAATTAGTCTTCAACTGATTCTGTTTGCACCTTCCATCAACTTTTATGCCAACATATCCATCTTTCATTATCATCTCCATTGAGCCATTTGTATGTTTATCTTAGAAATAAAGGAATAAATCAGTTTTTAGGCACTTCGATGAATTATACCTCAACCCAGCTAGATTTGACAAAGGGTTTCCTGGCAACAATAGCATCTATTAATCCTTCTTTGAATGCAATGGAGCCCTCAACAAGTACATGTGAGCAAATTGAACTCCATTTTCTGGTTACACCGGCCCCTGTAGTGTAAATGCAAGGTTAATCTCATAAAGAATGTCAAAGAAACAGTTTAGGACAAATATAGGTTAGGCATAAGTGCATAACCAGTTGGATCAGCACTAGAGTACAAACTGAAGATAAAAATAGAGAACGCTTTGCAGATAGCTTCTTCATTGATGAAAGAAACTGTTTAACCCAGTTAAATACGGAATACAAGTTAACCACTCACCTATGGATGATAAGTTCTTTGTAATAACTTGACTCGCTTTAGAATTGTCTGATGAGCAAATGAAAAATACAAGGGGAACAAAAGAAAACCTGCAAAGAATCACATGTTGCCGCGCACACACACATACATATTTCAGAAAGGAGGTCTCTCAAAAAGAAGTAATAAGATAATGATAATGGTAATAACAACAGGAACTATGATGATGACAGTTAGAAAATGATTCTATTAGCGTTAGCTTGCACGTCAATTACCTATATATTGCACTGCCAGTACCAAATGAAACACGGTCCCCATCCTTAAGGATTGTTTCTTTATTTGGAAGTTCATGAACCTTCACCTTTGAAGTAAGGTTGTTGTCGAGGAAGGTTCCATACTTTGAACAGTCTCTTATCCGAACCTTCGAAACTACATCCGAAAGCTTCTGCAGTTTGTCCAAATATATCATCTCTTCTATCATGATTTCTGCATGGATCCTTGAAACTCCTTTATCTTTGTTGACAATTATATCACATCCTGCAGGCGACAAACAATATAAATACAGATGATATCTAATAGAGTAATAGACTATGATTGTGAATCAGGAAATGGACCATTCTTGTCTAGAGTACCTTTCCGACCAACTCTATATGTTCCTTTATTGATGAAATAGTATTTATGTTCACCTATCACACAAAAAACCAATTTGATATCAGTTCACAACTTCAGAGGCAAACCTGAATTGAAAATAAAAGCATTACACCAAGGAAGTCCTTTTGTCAACTCAGGACCGTGTTTAGTGAATGAGGATGACATGAAATTGCTAGCCATTTCTCTATAGGCTATAGCTAAAGTATAGTGTACACTGGATAGTTCATAACATAACTAATGATGAAACACTATTGAATATAATTATGAAAATCGCATGAAAAATGAAACTCATCCTTGATAGCATAGTTGACACCTGGTGATGTGAACACATATATATTGGGGAATTGTTATAGAACCACTGCATCCTAGACTTTTAGGGACACTAAAGCAGTAAAGCTTGTGCAGAGTACATTCAGTTTGACACGGATAAATGGATTACATGGATTTTAGTTAGTAGATGGATGGTTCCAAAATTGGAAGTCGAAGTTTTATTCATTATTGGTACATCTCAAGCTTTACATAGTGATCTTACACTCAACTGACAGTTTTAACAAAATTAAAACAGCCTCTTTAATGCCAAGGTCAAAAGTCAAATTTCACTCTTCAGTCATTGATGGTGCAGGGACGGTCCCCATTTCGACATTGCAAAGTATTGATAAGTTTACCACAATGCGCGAAGACAAACAAAGATACTTAACACTCATGAAACCAATTAGGAAATCGGAACCTGGGAGTGGGTCAACAGGAAATAGGCCCCAGACCATAATATTGCTTTTCAGTTTCTTGTGTGGTTTGATGACAATAACGATTCTTGGGAAGTTGCCGCCTGCCGGGTCGAAATATAATAACAATATATTCAAGAATTGAGTTGTTTTGGCGCTGGTGAGAATCGAAGGGCAAGAAATCAGAACCGCTTGTGAAATCCTGGCGAAATAGGGGTTTCGGTCTTAAACAGGACCGGGCCGGGTCGAGCCAGAACTCGGTGACCCAGACCAAAACCCGGTTCGGTTAATTAAAATCCTTGAAATGATCAAAAACCGGAAAATATCAGACCGAGCCGGCAAAACCCAGTTCAAATCCGGACCCGGAAAATCCGATAAACCCGGAGAAAGCCGGGTTTTGTTATTTTTCAAATTTTTTTAATTTTAAAGTAATTTTAACCAATAAAATTGATTTTCAATACCTAGAAACAATATATTTATATATTTTTAATAAGATCAAAATGGTATTTTGGAATACTTAAGATTTTTTTAACTTTTAAGTGTTTAGTAAGTATTATTTTTAGTTGATTATTATGGAATAACTATTTTTTATTTTAATTTTGTATATAGTTATATGTTTATTATTGTTAAAAGTTTGACCGGTTTTATAGCGTTGACCGGCTTGATCCAACCGGATCCGGGTTGACCCATGACCCAGACACACGGTCGGGTCGTTCCCGGTCCGGTTTCTTAAACATAGTCTTAAACATGTCGATTACATTCACTACCCACGTTTAATTGAGCAAAACCAGTTAAGTTCTTTTCTATCTATCTATCTATCTATCTCCAAAACAGATCTAACCCAAACCCAGGCCCATACCCCTACCCATACCCGACAAAGCATTTAGAGCATCTTCAATGTTACAATGTGAACGGTGCACATGTGGTATGATGGATAATCACATAAATATTAGCAGATAAATTATTTCTCTCCTTATTTGAATGGTTTTTGCAATTTTGGTATGTTTTTTTTTTGACAATGTCAAGAAGATCGTGTAGATGTTGCCATTGTAGTTGATATTGCAGAGAAAAACTTACCAAAGTCGTATAAAATCATTTAAATAAGGAGAGAGATGGTTCATTTGTTGATATTTATGTGGGTACCTCTCATGCCATGTGTGCGTCGTGCACATTGCAACATTGTAGATGCTCTTAGAAGGACATAAGTCATTTTGACTCAGTCAATCTATTGATGATAGATTGTGTATCCGTGCGCACCAAAAGTCCAGGCCAGCACATAGGAGTTGTAACCTCCCCATGATCACTCGGATTTTGATCCTTGGACACTCTCTAACTTTCGCATCATTCAACCAACTAAACTAGTCATGCGGGTTAGTTAAATTCTTTTCTATGCAGCACCCAAAGGGAATGCAGAAACGGGTACGAGATACCACAAAACAAAAAAAAAAATAGGATATCCATACAACCATATTGGGTATATTTATAAATAGTACGGAGTAAAAGTTATGGGGTTTATTTACAAAAAAATAAAATTATAGGGGTCTATTTATATATATATATATATATATATATATATATATATTAAAAATTACATCATTTTTTGAAAATATATGAAGCATTTCACATTATCAAGATGTTAAAAATAAATTCATAGTTTATCTCATGTATACTAGTGCATCTCGAAATATAAATATAGTCAATAAATCATTAATTTGAAATGGGAAACAAGTCTAACAACCACATTTTTTGAAATTAAAATGTAAGTAATCAAACACAAATTACTAATGCATCTCTTAGCGAATGATTAAGTATGTGTGGAAGTGTCCTAGAATAAATTAGATCTTTCTTAATTTATTCTATGTGCAATTATAATTCTAGTTGCAGTTATAGGTTACAAATGATATCAATTAAATTACTCAAACACAAATTAAATAAATATCATGCAATTAAACCCTCGAGAAATTAACCCTAGATCATTGACGAGCACTTTGTCGTAGTGCGTCAAAATAAATTCAATACTAACACTTATACGTAATATAGCGTAATAGAGTTCGTATCCACAGGTAAGGAATAAATCTCTTTTTAAATGAAACTAGTAATTAAAGGGAGGTTTGGGGTTGAATGATTTAATTTAATTAAAAACTAAGATGAACAACTTATATGTGATTTAATTCAAAGATAAAAAGAACTTGGCTTTGCTACTTTCCACTTGCTGATATATTTAGTCGATCCTTGTTATATCTATAATTTATCTCCTCTTGAATACTCAATCGAGGAGTATATCCAATTCATCGAGGGTAGTTATTAAAAACGACCGTTCATTAACAACCCTTACTATTAACCAAATATAGGATAATGTCGTATACCGATTTAATAGTAGCATTTAATCTTTTTAACTCCTTGATGAAATCAATTGAGATTGATAACCTCAACACAACGGTTTCGGTTTAACCAACAAAATTAATTCCTCTTAAGTCTATTAACCACGACCGTGCATTAATAAACCAAAGTTACTTACTTGTGAAACCATCAACGATTAACCATCGGTTCGTTGATCGTTTCTAGTAATAATCAATGTCGAAGTCTTAACTAATCGTCACTTAGCAACACCCCAACATTAATATAGAATGAGATTAAGGGAAGAATTAATATTCAAGAAGAGAAGTTAAGAAAATAACTCACATCTTTAATAATTAACCAGCTTCAAGAGCAAAACCAAGAAATGGAAGTTTAGCTCCTCATTTGGAGACTAAACATAGCTAGAAAAATATAAAGAAATATTATTCTAAACCGAGCTTAAATATATGGAAGAAGGGATATCAAAATGGGAAGGAAAAAACGTGTATATATAGGTGTTTTGGTGAGGTTGGGTCTGATACCCGATCGGGTATAGAGGATACCCGACCGGGTATCTATGGCAATAGACACGAAAGTGCTAAAATCTAGTCATACCCGATCAGGTATGTCAATATATCTGACCGGGTATATGACCAAATATGATTTTCCCACGTTCTCTTGCTTTATTTGATCTTGTAAATCTCCGGGTCAAGTCATACCCGACCGGGTATAAAAAATACTCGACCGGGTATGACACCAAATCACATTTTAAGCATTATTTCTTGCTCCCTTGCACCTTCCTTTGATTTTGTAAGATCCCTTTCATGATCTTTTATTGATCCTTGATTGATTCTTGCTCAGAATGATTCTAAATTTACTAAATTACAACAAACTAGAAAAATAAAATGTTTGCATCATAAATGTGCAATTACCGCAACAACACACAGTAAAAATTAATTAAAAGTAAAAATATAAACACAAAATTCAATGCAATCAATCGTGATTAACCCCTTCATCAATCCCAAATCCCTAATTAAAACTACTCACGATTCATAATTGAATTAACAATAGAATTGAGAAGGAAAGAATTAATTATCATTAATTTAAAAAAATGAACTTACAAAGAATCCCAAAATCTTGACAATCCAAGGCTGAAAAGCTCTCAAAATTCGTTTTAGGGTTTATCTCTTTAAGCCCATGATGAAAAACAGATAAAAACGAGCTGAATTTATAGAAAACGGCAAAAAGTGGGTGAACTTGGGTCCGCGCGGTCTTGCGCATGGCATGTGGCTGACTGTGCGGACTTCCTTAAAAAATTGGCGTAAAAATCCTTCGTTGGTCCGCACGGCGTGCGGACTCCGCATGGTCCGGCCGTGCGCACCTCCCTGCAAACATGTTCTGGAGCACGAGGTGTGCGGACTCCGCACGGTATGTTAGCCGACTTGTGCTACTCTTAATTTTTTATGTTTACAAATAATGAAGCTAACATGTGTGTTGAGATGCTGCAGGTTTACTCATTCAAGTCAATCCACTAAAAATAGTCTTTCTTGATAGCTAGAAAGACCGTTTCATCAAGAATGTGTGGATTGCATATTAAAGGCTCTCAAAATCAATTTTATCACCTCAAATATTTTCTTAATAACTAATCAAACATTTTACTTTTGCACGGCAGAGTCAAATTCCTAATTTTTCCCAAGCACTTGAGTGCTTTTTCAAAACAGCTCACTAGTTTTTGTTCTTTGAGTTTCTCTTGTTTTGAGTGAGTTGTCTTCAAGTTTTTTTCTCCATCCTTTTGATGCAACTAAACCTCAATTTTAAGAGCTCTTAATCCCTCTTAAATGTGTGTTTCAAACGTGGTTAAAGATCTCTTCTAGCTGACTTTTATGGCAGCCAACTGCTGAGGCCGCTGTTGTGGAGCCAACTGCTGAGCCAACTGCCGAGCCAACTGTCGAGCCAACTGCTGAGCGAACTGCCGAGCGAACTGCCGAGCCAACTGTTGAGCCAACTGCCGAGCCAACTGCTAAGCCAACTGTCGAGCCAACTACCGAGCCAACTGCTCAAGCCAGCTTCTTCGAACCAACTGCTCAGTCCCCTGCTCGCAGCCCTCTGCTCAGCCCGCTGCTCCCAGCCCTCTGCCCTTAGCAGCCTACCTCTTTTGAAAGGTTGTGATGGATAGTGTACCCGGGGGTATGTATCCGAGGGGTTATTGCTGAGAATAACTTAGAGAGAAGTCAGAGCATAAGTAAGTAAGAGAGAGAGTGTATTCAGTATGAATGTCGTGGTTTACAACGGGGAAAAGGGGGTGCTATTTATAGTAGCAATAAATGCCGGACAGGGACACGTGTCAAGCATCCATTGGCCGAGAGGTCACCTCATCCGGTTGGCGCTGGCAACCGCATGTGGCCGCATTTAATGCGGCTGTTGGATGGGACGTTGTACAGGGTACGGTGATCTGTACGCGCGTGAAGAGGAGATCTTGTCGAGTGAGGTGCCTTCGGCTATAGAGCAGTAGCCGAGAGCTCCTCAAACCGAGGGCACCCTGGTGCCGAGGGCTCCTGGTGCCGAGGGCTACTGTTCTCGCCGTTTTCTCCCAGTTTCTTAGTTTGCTTGAGAAACCCGTTCTGTGAGATTTTAGAGCCTTCGGCCAGGGGGTCGAAGGCACCCCTGGTGCGCTGTGGGCTGCTTTGTACTCCGGGCGCCATGATTTGGGCCTGTTGGGCCTTCTGGGCCTGTTGGGCCTTTACTGGAGTAGTAGGAGTCTGTGGGCCGGGGGTTCCCGGGCCATATACTCCATCAGGAGTCCCTCACTCCTTTTGCCGAAAGGTACTTGAGCGAAAAGGAGTAATTTGTGCTTGCCCTT